ATCTACTGCATGAAAATAGCTGCACATTCGTCTTGAGTCAGATAAAGACTATGGTTGCAAGGTTAAACAGACCCATTAAGACTAAATCCTCACTAAATATAGTGGACTGTACAAAATATCCATAGGACGATGCTTTTAGTAAGCTGCATATCCTTCAACTGTCTTTATTTCGCAGTGCCATCTCCATTGTCATATAATCCAGTTTCAGAATGCAGATTAACTGCATTGAACTGGATTATAAGGCATTTTACTTTCATATAATCCAGTTCAATGAAGTTCCAGCTGCTCTTGAAATAACCTAGGACTTCATCACACACAGTGTTCCCACAGTTTCTAAACACTTAAAACACAAATCCCCATGGAGCCCATCAGATGATGCTATATTGTTCCATGGGTTCCCCATATGACTCTGTTTCTGAAATGTATGGAAATTCAATGTTGGTAAACGTTTTATTCCTCTTTCTTTAATCAAATTTGTGACAAGTTTGTGTGGACTCAGGTAACCTGGAGATAACTGACTGCAGCGCAGAGCCTTTCCCAGGCTCAAGACCTTGAGAATCCCCTTTCAGCAATACAGGCCTCTCTGACCCATCATCTGAACTGTATTCAGGCCACACATCTCTAAAACCAGGCCCAAGAAACAGACCATCATCCCCATTCCCTTCAGGAACATCTTCATGGACAGCATCCCCATTCCCATCAGAGGGATCAACTTGAAAATGAACAACATTGTCATTCCTATCATAAAAAGCATCCTGATCATTAGACACAATCACAGGCTGAACAGGCTGACATACAACAGATAAAGTCCCTAGTTTCTCTCCACTCCTTCCATATAATGTAGTTTCAGAATGCACATTAACTACATTGAACTACATATATGGCAGCATAAACACATATAATTCAAATCAATGCAGTTAATCCGCATTCTGAAACTGCATTATATAGCAGTGTAAATGCAGCCGGAAATAATACATGTTGGGAAACAACAGGGTTTTTTGACATATTTTTGTGTTACAGAAACTCCAGGTATATGTAAGATAGTTTTCATTACAGTACCATTCATTTTGTCACTGCAACAGATTGAATATTATGTCTGTTCCTCAGATTATATTTCTCTTTTCTTAAATTATCTCTCTGGCCTCAAGGGATGGATTAGGGTTCAGACACAGAAAACATCCTAGTTCTTTGTGAATTTACATCCAAAATAGTTGATTTAATTATTGGTTTTAATAATAATAATAATAATAATAATAATCTATATTTATATCCTCCCCTTCTCCCCAAGGGGACTCAAGTGGATTTCAACATCTACATACATAGGCAAACATTCAATGTCTTTATAATTATATACAATGAGACACAAACAAAGGTAGAGGCTTCTCTTTTCATTTCCGTCTTCTGACGGTGGTGCTCATTTCTGGCTCAGGGGAGGTGCTTTCTCCGTTTTCAAGTCTAAAAGCCTGTGTTGTCACCTCCTGGTTGTGTGGCTGGCAAGATTGCTTGGAGCATCTTTGCCTGTTTATCTACTCACATTTGCATGTTTTCGAACTGCTAGGTTTTCAAGAACTGGAGCAGACAGACAGGAGTTCACCCCATCTCATGGATTTAAGCTGCCAACCTTTCAGTCAGCAGTTCAGCCAACCTTCAAGTCACCAGTTCAGTAGCATAAGGGTTTAACCCACTATGCCACCGGGCTCAATGGCATTTTACTGCTAGCATACACACTGCCTTCTAGATCTTCTTTAGACTTATATCTCTACTAAGAGACCTAAATACCCTAAAATCACCAGATTATCGTCTATTAGGATTTTTGGGAGTTGAAGGCCAAAATATCTGTTGACCCACAGGTTGAGAACCACTATCTTAGAAGATAAGCAGTATCAGACATGGTTAATATCTGGCTGAGAAACCACTACTAAATACTTGGTGCTGTGAAGTGTTTTTCAGAGAAAGGAACTGGCCACCTCTGAATATTCCTTGCCTTAAGAAAACCCTAAGAAATTAATGTGATCACCATAGGTCACCAGGTGAGTTGAAGAAACACACACACATATGTACTGACTCTCTAAGGCCACCTTTGACCTTGAGTTGTAACAATAGCCAATTCTGGTGTCACCTATGTTACCGTGATGGTATAATTGTAACACAACCTCCTCCATACTCCATGCCCATGATATGGACACAGCAGACCGTGAAACTTCTTTATTCTGTTTTCTTGATTTCTTCATAATGGCAGATTCAAGTTTTTATCCTGTTAAGATCACTTGCAAAACTTGAGTAGACAGTGCTGTATCTTTATACGTAAAAGTCAAAGTATGTATATATGTTGCTTGGTTTGCAGGTTTGTTTATATGGATCTTAGTTGGAAGTAACAATTAAATTTAGGCTTACATTGACAGCTGGTTGAATTTTAATCACCAAGTTTTGTCAAGCAGAAAGATTAAATTTAGTCACCATTTATCTCTCTTAACAGATAAACTTTCAAGCTACGTCAAGCATCTTATTGAAAGGAGAGGCTAGAACAGGCATGGGCAAAGTTTGGTCCTCCAGGTGTTTTGGACTTCAACTCCCACAATTCCTAACAGCCTTACCTCCGGCATAGATATAGCTTCCATTCAGAGATCTGGGATTCAGGCTTCCTCCATAGAGACAAAATATTTTTTTATACACATCAGCATGGTTGACTCAAGGCTGAGAAAAGGGATAAGATAGCACCCTCTCCACAGTTCCTAACAGCCAGTAGGCTGTTAGGAATTGTGGAAGTTGAAGTCCAAAACACCTGGAGGACCAAACTTTGCCCATGCCTGGGCTAGAAGTTCAGTTTACAAATTTGTTTCTATAATATTGTGATGCCATCTGGCGGTAATTATGGGAATTTAATTTCCAAGACTGAATTTGACCAGCTGTTTGACAAAACAATGTACATTTCTAAAGTAATGCTTTCAAAAAGTTGAAAACTTAAAGCAATTAGGACCTTTAGGATATCCTACATCTGAAGAGTCAGATTGGATAGCTTTGTTGTTAAAAGGCTGAAAGAGCAATTAGATTTTCAGCTATATTCAGTATCTCATTAAGATGTCTTGTGTCAATGTAATATTTAAAAGAAATAATTAAAACCTTTTTTAATAATAATAATAATAATAAGATAGAACAATTATACAATAGAAATGTAAAACAGAAAGAACCAACCTAGGATTTTTTCTATTTCAAGAGAAAAGTGAAATACAAAGAGCCAGTCCTTTTATAAACTTGTGGGTAACTTGGGCAGACAACTGACAACAAGTCCGCTATAAAAGTACTTTATTGTTTGGCATGGATTCAGATGCTGTATACATTACCAAAGGGAATTATCCTTGTTACTCGTTCCAAACCAATATCCACACTTGAGAAAACATCAATTCCTCACCTCTTTGGCTATTTTGTTTTTACATGGAAATAAAATCAAACTATGTACACCCCATTTTATTACATAGTATCTGACCTGTCAGAGAAACGAAGAGGGAATATTCAGATTTGAAAAATCTATTGCCCCTTCCATTAAATTGTAAGATATTTTAGTAGAAAAAAACTAATTAGCCAAGTAAATAATCCAGTCATCTATCTGAAAACATATCATAGGACAATCAATAGCCAGTCATAATTCATTCTGCATTTTAAATATTACCACAGCTAATTTAATTTGTTTTCCACCAGCTCCTTTAATTTCTAAAATCTTAGTATATATGTATGAGATTGATCCAACGAGATAGAATAGATGTATAGATATGAAAGAATATCTCATTGGATCTGTGTGTGTGTGTGTGTGTGTGTGTGTGTGTGTGTGTGTGTGTTCGTGTGTGTGTGCACGTGTGTGTGTGTGTGTGTACTAGCTTGGGGGCCCAGCAGTGCCCGGGTTATTTGAGAAAGGCATTGTTTGTCTGTGCTCCTAGTTTAATTAGATCCAGTGTTGGCTGGGTTCAGTGGGTGCAGGTGAACTATAGCTCCCATATGCAAGTCCTATTGTCCATGGTCCATCTTCCTCCAAACCACACCAAGATATAGAATGGGTCATGGGGGCTCTGGGTGCCAAGTTTGGTCTTGATCAGTCATTGGTGTGGATCACAATGCTCTCAGGAAGTGAGTGAAGGTACTTCAAGTACCATCATCCATGGTCAAAACTCCAAACCACACCAGGCTGTAAACTCCAAACCGCACCTGTGTGCCAAGTTTGTTCTTGATCTGCCATTAGTGTGGGTCACAATGGTCTCAGGAAGTGAGTGAAGGTACTGAAAGTCCCATCCTCCATGGTCCATCCTCCCCCAAAGCACAACAAGACGTGAGTCATGGGGGTTATGTGTGCCAAGTTTGGTCCAGGTCTGTCACCCATGCTGGTCGCAGTGACCAGTGGAAGTAGGTGCCAAATCTGTGTGCCAAATTTGGTCCTGATCTGTCATTGGTGGTGGGTACAGTGGTCTGTGAGAACTGAACTTTTTGAAATTACTGCAAATCCCATCATCCAACATCCAACCTCCCCTAACCCACACCAGGATGTAAAGGGGGTCATGGGGGTTATGTGTGCCAAGTTTGGTCCAGGTCTGTCACCCATGCTGGTCGCAGTGACCAGTGGAAGTAGGAGCCAATCAGAAAGCTGCCACATACACACATACCCACATACAAGCACTGATAGATAGATATAGATATAGATATAGATATAGATATAGATATAGATATTCCTAAATAGATATAGATATAGATATAGATATAGATATAGATATAGATATAGATATAGATATAGATATAGATATAGATAGAGAGAGATATCTTGTTGGCTCAATCTCATACATATATACTAAGATTCTAGTAATTAAAGGAACTGATGGAAAACCTGATATAATTGAGAACACCCTGAGCAAGGAGGACATTTGATACAAATTGGAAGGGGAAATCTGAAGTAATTAATTGTTCTTGCAGATCTCAGGAAATGCATCTTTTAGTGGAAATGTACCATTTTTCTCAGGTCTCCAATCACCCCATCTCACCCAGTAGCATCTTTAGGTGATACATAAATTGGCCATAACCATAATGACTGGACTATGCTCCTCTACAATTTTTCTGCGATGTTTGTGACCTCTGTTTATCGCATATCTATTACAATTGCATGGGTTGATCTCGGTCCATTTCCCAGCAGAGTTTGACCAGATAGCATTTTGATCCCTTCCAACTCTACCTGGACTTCATGGCAACTTCCTTGCCTTCCCTTTTCATTTTAAGGGAAGCTGTTTTTACCTCTGATCCTCATCCTGCCTATGTGGAGCAGAGGAGGACTGGACTGAGGGCTGCAGTCTTAGGGTAGGCAGTGCCCGCACCAAATGTCGCACCGAAGCTGCCAACTCAGCTAGACTGAAAGCTACAGCTTCCATTTGGGAACCCTGATGTTGAATGGTGGTAGAGAGGGAGCCCAGATCCCCACGGAGGCCTTCCATTGCTTGGACCAAGTTCCTCATTGCAGGTGATGAACAGCAGAAGTCTTGGTGTTCTTGCTTTTGCTCCTGCCTAATAGGGCAGCCAGAGGGTGACTCACTTAGTTTAGAAGAACTGGCAACAGTCTCTGTAGATGAAATATCCAGCCTCAGTGCTTTAGTCATGCTCAGTGTCGAAACAATATCTGTGAAGCCTGCAAGACAGAAAAGAACCAATGATTGCATTGTGACACCACCATTCCAGCCAGCAACCAATACAAAATAGATTTCTGATTAATACTGTATGAAAAACTGAACTAAAGAAATGTCATAGAATCAGAGAGTTGGAAGAGACCACATGGGCCATCGAGTCCAACCCCCTGCTATGCAGGAAAAGCACAAAGTACCTCCATCAGATTACCATCCAGCTTTTGTTTAAAAGCCTCCAAAGAAGGAGCTTCCACCACACTCCAAGGCAGAGAGTTCCACTGTTTAACAGCTTTTACAGTCAGGAAGTTCTTCCTAATGTTCAAGTAAAATCTCTTTTCCAGAGACTTAGGCTTTGGCTACTATCATCTACAACTCCCGGTGACACAATTGGGTTAAACTGCTGAGCTTCTGAACTTGCTGACCAAAAGATCGCAGGTTCAAATCCGGGGAGCAGCGTAAGCTCCCGCTGTTAGTCCCAGCTTCTGCCAATCTAGCAGTTCAAACATGCAAATGTGAGTAGATCAATAGGTACTGCTCTAGTGAGAAGGTAATGGTGCTCTATGCAGTCATGCTGGCCACATGACCTTGGAGGTGTCTATGGACAACGCCGGCTCTTCAGCTTAGAAATGGAGATGAGCACCAATCCACAGAGTCGGACACGACTGGACTTAATGTCAGTGGAAAACCGTAACCTTTACCTTACAATCATCAAGTGTATCTGAAGAATTACAAAACAGGGGAAATCTGCGAAAACTAACCAAATCAATGACAAATCCCATGCCTGGATGCTGGGCTTAGGTCTTGCCAGCGAGGCAACTCTGCTCTTTGCTTAAAACTATTCATGGACTCTTTGCTTAAACAACATGTGACAAATGACATAAGGATTGAAGCAAGGAGACTTTCATGACACTTGTCACACTAAGGGAGCTACTCCCTTGTATGACTGAGGGTCCAGAGCTTATAAGAGCTACAAGGCGGAAAAATAGTGTATAACTCTTGCATTAAATAAGAGGCCTGAAAAATAAGATCCCCTTATTTCTATCACAAGTTTTTATTTATTCTAGGAGCCCCCGGTGGCACAATGGGTTAAACCCTTGTACCGGCTGAACTATGGACCAAAAGGTTGGTGGTTTGACTCTGGGGAGCTGGGGGAGCTCCCATCTGTCAGCTCTAGATTCCCAAGCAGGGAAATGAGAGAAGCCTCCCACAGGATGGTAAGACATCTGGGTGTCCCCTGGGCAATATTCTTGCAGACGGCCAATTCTCTCATACCTGAAGCAACTTGCAGTTTCTCAAGTCGCTCCTGATGCTTAAAAAAAATCTGAGATCCTTACTTGTTTCACTTCCTGTGTCCCCTGAGCTCACCAAACCATCTTCAGTTTGTCCACGTGGTGAGACTGTGTGTGACAGTGGACTTTGAGGCCATTTGGTTGCATTCTGAGCATCCGTTTCATCCAAAGATCTCACATCATTGGGAGGGAAGGTGGACTCTGGTGCCATGGAAGAAGAAGAATATGGTTAAGAGGGATGAAAATGAAAGCTTCCTCCATCATTCTCCCCCCCCCCCCCCCCATTTGGATTTTATTCCAAAGGGAAAAGAAAGTGCGTGAGAGGGCAGCTATTGCTCTTTTTAGTCTATCTTCATTTTCCTTCTGGTGGGGAGGAAGATGAAAAATAGTTACAGCAAATCCAAAGAAGGGGCCAAATGTGGTAGCTTGTCTGGTATCCCATCCCCAAAATCCTGGAGTTGGAGGTTATTCTTTATTATTATCTTTTCAATCAAATGGGAAATATTCCACCACCCTGCACTGTCAATAGGTCAATGGAGAACATTTCCTGAGAAAACAGGAAGCTGCCCAGCTTTCTCTGGAAATCGTACAGCTTTTATTGAAAAGTGCATAGCTTTCCCAACTGACAAGCACTAGGTACTGCTTCTCTGCAACTTTCCCTCCTTTATCCTATCTAGTGCCAAAGTTATGCAAAAATCATCAGCTGTGAAAAGACAACACAATTGTCAAACCAGCTGGGGGGCTGAGGGGGAGAACATGTTGCCAGAAAGTTGACAGCTCTTAATTGAGAGCTGCAGGAATTTATGGAGAGCAGGAAAGTTGTGAATGTTTGTCAGTTCAACTTCCAGCTGATATGACAGCTATAACATCTTTTCATAGCTGATGATTTCTGCACAACTTTGGGGCTGGAGAAGAAGAGAGGGAAGGCTGCAGAAAAACAGTAGCCAATGTGTATCAACTGGAAAAGCTTTCCCATGAAATCTGTATCGCTTTAGCTGGAAAGAAAAAAAACATCCCAGCAAAGCTGTTGAACTATTTACAGTTTTCCCCCCTTTTCTGCACCAATTTTCTTTTTTCTTTTTTTTTCCCGTGGGGGTCAAACTTGTGCCGATTCACCTCTATGGCCTTGAGAACACACAGCGGTCAAGGCGCCTTCCATCTTCCTTTTCCCAAAGCCAGCCAATGGGCTGGAGGCAGTCATAGAGGCATGGATTTTAAAATTCAGAGAAAAGAATCTGGCAGAACAGTACAACAATTTTCAAAGCGATAAGGAATTCATTCGGGAAGTTGGTGAATTCCCATCCTATCCCTAGAGATGGTACAACGGTAGCTACTTACCTATTGACTGTATGGCATGTAGATTTTTATTTGATTCCTCTTGTTGCTTCTGTCTTGTGTTCTCTTTAGAGTCTGGGATTTTGGAGTAAGTTGTTTCCATGTGCTTTACAGGTTGCGTGTTCTCTGTGGCTGTTGGCAGTTCTATCGCCATTGTAGCCTCTAATCTCTTTGAGAACTGAATCAGTTCCTTTACTTCATTATCAGTTGCTTCCCTATTTTTTATCCATGTGGTAGGTTGAGCTTCTGCTACAGTGTTGATGGGTTCTATATCTTGTGTGATATGAGGCAATTTAGACATGTTGCTCCAATGTATGGGGGGCTCCATGTCTGTTGCAGGATTAGCAGTGTCTGTTACTGTAGACAGATCAATTACTGATGGAGTGGTTGACTCGGTTTCTGTCTCAAATTCCAAATCCACTGTGACAAACGGTGACAGGTACTCAATGGGAGAAGAAGTGGGCTTTTGTTGCCATTTGTGTGAGGATGATGTTGTCTTTGGTGAGCTGGTTGATTCCATCTCTTCACCATTCTGTAGAATTTCTGGGTCAGTGACAGTTCTATCCATGACCATATGAGTTGTTGTGTCTCTTTTAGATTCCACATCTAACATGGTTGAAGATAGTTGAGATGCTGTTGTAGCGTAAATTGTGTTTTGTTCCCATTTGTTTAGTGTTGTACTCTTTGGGGAGCTGGTTGATTTCATCTCTTCTTCACCATTCTGTAGAATTTCTAGATCAGGGACAGTTCTATCCATGACCATATAAGTTGTAGTGTCTTTTTTAGATTCCACATCCAACATGGTTGAAGATAGTTGAGATGTTGTTGTTGTGTAAGTTGAGTTTTGTTCCCATTTGTGTAGAGTTGTGCCCTTTGGGGAGCTGGTTGATTCCATCTTTTGGCCATTCTGCAAAATTTCTAAATCAGGTGTGGTAATGTTCATTGCCTTGTGGGTTATTGTGTCTCTTTTAGATTCAAAATCCAATATGGTTGAAGGTGGCTGAGACATTGTTGTAGCATAGGTTGTCTTTTGTTCCCATTTGTGTGGAGATATGCTCTTTGGGGAGCTGACTGATTCCATTTCTTCACCATTCTGCAAGGTCTCTAGATCAACTGTAGTTTTATGCATACCCCAATGGGTTGTTGTCTCTCTTTCTCTTTTAGATTCCAAATCCAGCATGTTTGAGGATGGCTGAGATTTTGTTGAGACATAAATTGGCTCTGGTTCCCATTGGTTCATGTAGGATTTTGTCTTTGGAATCTTGGTTGAAGACATCTCATGAACACGTTGCAGGATTTCTAGATCAGGCGTAGTTTCATCTGTGGTCTCCTTCACCCATTTGTATGCAGTTGTCCTTCTCTCAGGGGTTCTGGTTGACTCCATTTCTTGGACCGACGTCAGCACAATTTCTGTACTAGGGGTTATTTCAACTGTGTCTGTGGGGCTTGTTACCTTTGTATTTTGTTCTTGTTCTAGCTCCACGTTTTGTATGGGCCTTAAAGGTTTATCAGTGTGCTGTGACTGTAATGTCTCTTTCTCCAATTCATCTAGAAAAGTCTGAGTGGCTCTGGTAGCCTCCGGCACATCCAAGGTGCTTTGCAACTCTGGTCCATCTAAAGGCCTAATGTTTTGTGCAGTAGTAGTAGTGGTGGTAGTGGTGGTAGCAGTAGTTGGAGAGGTAGTGGTGGTTGATTTAGCTGAATCACTGAATGGCTTTGGTAATGACAAACGTTTCCACTTCCCTGAAAATACAAAAGAGATTAGTTATTCCCAGCATGGTGGGAAATCTCAAAGAATTCTCACAAGACCTGGCAAAATAAGATTCACCAGATTTCTCAGAAGGAAGGCTTGATAGTTAAGAAGTGTATTTTGATGGATTGTATAATAACCATAAGTTGACATTTGAAACATGCATTTGAGTCTAACCCCATTTAATACAGTTTAACAGGTAATACACACACTATGAGTATTTGATATGGTAATTTCAGAACAGCTGATCATATCTCTGTGTCGAGAATATTGCATTTCCTGTCCCATGAAGAAATGGGTAGTTTCCCACCTGTGCAGATGACAGAAGCATCCTCATGGTGATTGCAGTTATGCTTGCCCCAGGGCTGAGAACGGCAGCGCCTTAGAGTGAACTCTGACCCAGTGCAGTTGACGTCATCCAACCAGATCGGTCCAGAACCAGGTCCATAACGTGCATTGCCTGGACTGAGAAGAGGAGCTCCACAGCCCAACTCACGGCACACCACAGCTGCATCTACCAGATCCCAGCCATCATCACATACCGTTCCCCAATGGTCTTTATACAGAACTTCTACTCGACCAGCACAGGATCCGGGGCCTCCTACCAGGCGTACCTGCCATTGGGCTGAAATAGAGGGGATGGAAACATCTTAAAAATTAAAAGCCAGAATATCACATTTATCTATGTCTCGGAGCACAGGTTTTCTCTTAATCCTCTAATCAGCAGGGGTGGCTCAACCCATTACGCAAAGTAAGCATTCGCAGTATAGTTTATTTTGCCCAGGGGCGCTCTTGAGGCGCTCTTAGGGAAAAATAGACCTTAACATATGCGAGTTGTAGTTACTGGGATGTATAGTTCACCTAAAATCAAAGAGCATTCTGAACTCCACCAATGATGGAATTGAACCAAATATGGCACACAGAACTCCCATGAAGAACAGAAAATATATATCAATGATTGGTTGGGGGGGGGCACCAAAATACTGTTTGCTTACCATTGAAAATTACCTAGGGCCGCCTCTGCTAATCAGTGAATATCTGTGTTTCTCTCTCAAACACATACATAAGCCAGCATATCCCAAGCAATCTGGATACTGTGATAGCGTAGCTGATGGGTCTTAGAAGTAGGTTAGGAGCACATTCTGTGGTGACCTTGGATCAAGACAGATGTGATGTGGAATATCCATTATGAATGGATCTCCCAGCATTTTGCCTTTCAGGACCGCATCAGATGGTATAAATGTATCATCCTAAGACGCTTCCATCCTGTCTCTGGGACAGAGCCCCATGCCAGGCATCGCACAATGTCACGTGACTTCCAGCGGAGGCCCACCCCCAATTGGAGTGGAAACATCACCGGAGGCTTCCAATGGAGCCAGCAAGAATCCTCTACAGAAGGACGACGCTTCCCACGTGATGTGGGTAGCAATGCCAAAATTCACGCTGCTGCCCCTTTCTTTCCCTGCCAAAGCCAGGCAAAGGTCCCTAGTCAAATGTGGCTGTGGGAGGTTACCTATTTGTTGTGATGACCACAGGTGAAGAACTGTTGATGCCTTCTATACAACATTTTCCAGTTTACATCTCTCACACTTATAAACACCCCAAGTAGATGTAAGTCCTGTGAGGGAACATAAGGAGGAACACCCCCTTGCCATTGTTCAAGGACATGGATCAGCCTCCCAATTATTTCTCACCTGGCTGCATTTAAGCAACAGGGAAGGCAGAAAATGAGTTTCCTGTATAAAATACATTTTGACCTCCCTGCTGGCAGGTAAAAACTATTTTTTTTATTTATGGGAGCTTTTGGATTTTAGCGTGTTGTGGCAGATAAAGCTTTTAATAGGAAGGAGTGTTGCGTTTTCATTTTAAGTGTCTTTCAGTGCTGCTTTCAACTTGTTCTAACTTATATTTAAATAGAAATTTAGTTTACTTCTGCATGGCAGGGAGTTGGATCCCATGCTGGGAGAAACACAGGATATAAAATAAATACATGAGTTGGATTCTAAGGTCTGGGAAGTAGAAAATTCCTATCAGCCTCTGCTCTGAAACCTTCACAAAACATCAGTGCTTGTTAAAGAATTTTATTATGTGCTAGCCTTCCCCTGCCACACCTTACTGTGGCCCAGTCTGTGTATGTGTGTTTTGTGTGTGTGTGTATATATGTATGTGTATATATTTGGATATATATGTGTGTTTACGTATATATGTGGTTTTGCGCACACATTGTAATGTTGTTGTTTTTTTGCTTTTTAAATCTCTTCCACTATATTTTTAGTGTTTTTATGAGTGATGGTCACTTGTTGGTTGTCCAGTGGTTTTTCAGTTCTATTAATCCCACAAACAAACATTACATTTTTATTTATATAGATCCATGTGTTCTCTGTTATTGTCACATGCCTTAGGAACCTGTTCTCAGGCAGCAGTGAAAAAAGATAAATATTCAAAATAAGCATTTAAGCAATGAACAGAACATGAACAATTGCCTGAAGTCCACAAACCTATTTCTTGCTGCTACTCACCACCTAGTACTCTCTCTGCAAGACTTTCCTTCAGCCTCTTTTCTGCATGTGACACTTCATTAGCCACAGGTTCTTCTCGGGTTCTTGAAGGCCGAGTGGGACGTGGGATTCTCCTGGGGGCCACAGTTCGGAATCGCTGAGGTGCCAATGTCCTTGTGAGCATGGCCACGTGTTCTTCCACCATAGCAAGTGGCATTTCACCTGTGGAGAGAAAGTACATTATGTAACAAACGCAGTCATCAATCGCAACAGAAGCTACAAATGATAATTTTAAGTAGTATCAGTGTGAGTATAATAATTACTTTATTATGGGATTCCCGTGAGTCAAATATATATTTAAAACAAAAGGAGTTATCAACAATGAATTCCATAGTTTAATGATATAGTTAAAGAAATGGTAGTCATGGCTTTGGATAGTGTTCTGGGGGAGTAGATAAATTAATGGAAGTTCAAGTCACCAATAGCTGCTAGTCAGGCCTTTCCAGATGTTGGACCACAGCTCCCAGGATTCCTGACAAGCTAATTGCTGGGAGTTGCTGTTCAAATATATGGAGTTGCTGTCAAAAACACTTGGAGACTGCATTATTCCCACCCTCATTTTAAGCAACTAGTTGCCCATTGTTTAACAGAACTTTGGACTACGTAGGCTTTTATCTTGTGGATCTTCTTTTGTTCTTATATGTGACCCATCACTATAAAATCTCAGTTTTGTGTGCAATAAATATGATGTAGAAGAATTTAGGTGGCAGGGAACAGAACGGAGTAGGTGTGATTGGTTTCTAGGGCAACAGGAGCAAATACAGTGGAAGGGAGATGGCTAGAGCAGTTAACATGGATAGTCGGAGAGAGGGGAGAATAATAATAAGGAGATGAGATAAAAATAGCAGTACTTTTGTTATCTATACATTCTGTATACTTGCTGTATCCAATGCCCATATCTCTCTAGCTCACTACAAATATTGTGTATGCACAGAGGGATCTTGTAGCATATTTTACACTGTGAGAAAGAAGACGACCTAGGCTGGATTTATACTGCCATATAATGCAGTTTTGGAATGCAGATTAACTGCATTGAATTGGATTATATGGCGGTGTACACTCATATAATCCAGTTCAATCTGCATTATTCTTATATGCTGACTATATAATGCAGTTCAAACTGCATTACTTGGAAGTGTAGATACAGATCTTGTCTACTTTCTAAGTTGCATGAAGGAAGTAGACCAGGGAAGGGATGCATCTTCACTGTCGAATTAATACATTTTGACATCTCTTTAACCGTCCAGGCTCAGTGTAATGCAATTCTTGGAGTTATAGTTTGGTGAGAAGGCTAAAGACCTTGTAAAACCACAACTGCCATCATAACATAGCATTTAGGCATGAGAGATAAAATGGTATCAAATTGCATTGATTCTGCAGTGTGGGTGCACCCTGGATCTATGAAAGCTAGGGTTAGAATCCAAGGTGCTACAACATCTGTTTGCATACTGATTTTCCAGACTAACACAACTATATCTTTGAATTGTAAATATTCTTATTACGTTAAATTGTAAAATGGTCCTCCTTGGAATAAATTGGTTAGATAACCAGAAGACGGGTGAAGACTTCTAGAGGCCTGCCCCCTTAAAGAACCAGAGTCCCCAAGACTTTAAAAACTGTTAAACAACAAATGCAATTGTTCCATTCTTACCTGAACACACAGCACCAGCATCTTCACTGTGTCTACAGTTGTTTGTTCCCCAGGAACTGGTATGGCACTGTATCAGGGCTGGCTCTTCTCCTTGGCACTGTACATCATCCAGCCAGATGACACTGCTCCCTTCACCAAAGAAAGCACCACCTGGTGCTGCCAGAGCCTCTCCGCAGTCTAGTTCCCGACAGACCACCGCAACATCCAGAAGGTCCCACATGTCATCACACACTGTCCCCCACTGTCCCTCATGGAAGACTTCCACCCGGCCAGAACAATGGCTTCTGCCACCTACAAGACGGAGAGCAGGAGCCCCTGCATGGAGAAAGAGGACAGTGATCTAAGATATCTACAGTGTCCCAATATCCCATTTCATCTGATTTTTCAGGATCTTCCCAGTTACTAATTCAGTGTTGGAGCAGCCATGCAAATGATATGCATTTAAAAATATCGAGCCCACAAATAATTCTTGAGGCTAATGAAGTAGACATGTGTCCCAGAGCACATTTGCAAAGGAGGAGACAGTATAGTTTTCAGAATCTGCATCAGAATAGACCTCGCCTTCCTTATCTCCTTTAACCCAACTCAGGAGAAGGTACGGTTCATAGAATCATAGAGTTGGATGCAACCACAAGGGCCATTCTGTCCAACCCTTTGACATGCAGGAATCAAAGCTCTCTAAACAGATGGTCATCCAGTGCCTGTTTTAAAACCTCCAGAGAAGAAGACTCCACCACATTCCAAGGCAACATATTCCATAACATACCATCAAAAAGTTCCTTCCTAATGTTTAGGTGGAATCTAAATTGTTCGAGTGAGCAATAAAAGTAATGGATTATTGGCCTGCAGGAGACACTCACCCTGAGCAGGGGTAGGAGAAACCACTGGTCTTGCTGTGGTTCCTATGTCCATTTTCCCGCTCCTGAAAGTTGTGTGAGGAGGAAAAGAAGTGAAAGGGGGGAAACGCTGCTCTGTAAAGGGAGAAGTGAGAACAATTTAGATAGGTTTGTTGGCCTTGTTGGAGGGAAACACCAAGCTTCCCTTTTCTCCAAGAGACAAAACAGCCCAAACATCAGATGTTGTTACCCTTCTTCCACATGACATTCAGCCTGCTGACTATAGTCTACTTGAAAGGAGAAAGAAGGATGGGGATATGAGATTCTCCTTTAAAGAGATGCCAAGGTGGGCCTTTGATTTTATACAAAACATCATAAGAAAGAAAAGCCTCCCATCCAAAGTTCAGCCAAATGCCTCCCTTGAAAGCTTCTATAGACAGGTCTTCTGCCTGTTACTGAAGTTCTAAAGGCACTTAAACAGCCTCGACCTAATATCTGCTTTAAAGCAGACTTCATAGATGATATCTTATTGGCATTCTCTTTGCTTTGAAAAAAACAGAACTCTTCAAAGAAAAGTGATAAACATAGCAGAATTTGAACTAGAGGTTGATACATGTTTATTGCTGAGGATGTTGTCTGTTCACCATGGTGATCCCTTTCAAAACAGAAAAAAGGGAAATGGAAGCTGTCATATATACTTGAAGATAAATCGGGTTTTTCAGCCTTCTTTAGCTGAAAAAGCCTCCCTTGACTTATAATGGGGTCAAGGACAGGCAGTGGAGCCTGGAGGCATTGCTTGTAATATATATTTCTCTCTCCTCTTCGCCTCCCTTGACAGTGTGTTTTCTTTTCCAGTGAAAAGGGAGGGAAGGGGGGAAAGGGGATATATTTCATGTTCTCCTTGTTCGTATGGCTCTCTTTCAAACCCACCCAATTTCCTGGCTTTTTTTGTGTGTATCTAAATGTATTAACTTTATATGTGCATTTTGTTCCCTTGGAAGTTCTTCCTTCATATGTTTGCACGACTTTGCAAATCCAGTATACATATAGATATCTAGATATTTCCATGTACCTGTATATTTGTGTCTATATGTATATATTGTTTTTATATGAATTTTCCTCTCACTTGTTTTCAAGTCTCTGCAAATCCTATATACATATAATTATCTATATACAGAGAGATGTCTAGATAGATATATATGAATATAGATATAGAGGGTGTAAATATTGCAGGAGGGAACTGCATATATAGAGAGGGGGGATTTGCAAACATTTCAGGGGAAAATTCATATGTGAAATTAATATATATAATTATAGATCTATATCTAGCTCTGCATTGTTTATATAGGCATTGAATGTTTGCCTGTTGCTATGTTGGAAGCCGGCCTAAGTCCCCATGGAGAGATAGGGCGGGATACAAATGAAGTTATTATTATTATTATTATTATTATTATTATTATTATTATGTTATTGTTGATATCATATTGCTTTTGTTGACCCTCCTTTTCCGCTTACAGAGCTAGTTTACTGTTTTTCTTTGAAATATGGTAAATATTCAAAAACATTTAACCTACTAATGTCTAAATTAATGTAATTTTATTTGTATCTATTTTTATTTTGAAATTTACCAGTAGCTGCTGCATTTCCCACCCTAGGCTTATACTTAAGTCAATAAGTTTTCCCAGTGTTTTGTGGTAAAATTAGGTACCTCAGCTTATATTTGGGTCACCATACATTTAAGTATATACAGTATATCCCCTGAGCTGGAAACACCAATGCCTAATTTTGCAGAAGCTTGCTACAGTTCCTCGGTGCTGAGGAAATTTATTGTTCATATGCTTACACAGTCTAGAGATGATAACTGATTTTGTCCTGCTTAAAATGAAAACCTGGCTGTATGGCACTCTGTTCACTTTCCTTTTTCTTTTTCATAAAACCAATATAGATGTTAAGGCTGGGTGACTAGAGCCTCACCTGAGCAGATGACACTGGCGTCTTCTTCATGGGTACAGACATGCTTTCGGAAGCCCAGGTGGTGGCAGGAGTGCAAGTTCCACTCGGTGCCTGCGCAACGCACCTCATTCAACCAGATGGGCCCAGGTCCTTCCCCAAACCAGGCCCCATGGGGAGCTGAAAGAGCCTCTCCACAATCCAGTTCCCGGCACACCACAGCCGCATCCCGCATATCCCAGTCATCATCACATACTGTTCCCCATTTGCCTTGGTGGAAAATTTCCACCCGTCCTGCACAGAGATTTGGGCCTCCAGTCAGACGAACTGGGAATGAGCCTGCCAGAAGAAAGAATGGTCATCAAAGTCACATTCTTACTGGCATGTCTACACTCACTGCTATGTGAAATACAAAACAGAGAATTTGGATAAGCCACCTTCCCACTTAACTGTGGAATCCCTTCTCTTGACTTTATCATCACTTAGTTTGGACATGTATAGGCTTCCTCCACTTTTGATCACTTGCAACTTGATGCCTTACTCTTTCAACCCTTGCAAGTTACAGATAAGTTCCATTAATTTGATGAGGGATCCTCTCTTTCTTCAGTTCTTTTTGCTTACAAAACTTTTTTGGGACTTCTTGCATGAAAATTTGCAGATCCCAAGAGTTGCCTAGAAAAGAGCAGGCCCCTCTTTGAATTTTGATTGTGTGCTAAATTTTGTGTTTTTCAGCACCCAAGCTGGAGTGTAGATTATTTGCAGAGGCGGCCCTAGGTAATTTTCAATGGTAAACAAACAGTATTTTGGTGCCCCCCCCCCAAACCAATCACTGATATATATTTTCTGTTCATCGTGGGAGTTCTGTGTGCCATATTTAGTTCAATTCCATCATTGGTGGAGTTCAGAATGCTCTTTGATTGTAGGTGAAATATACATCCCAGTAACCTCAACTTGCATATGTCAATGTCTATTTTCCCCCAAAAGCGCCTCAAGAGCGCCCCTGGGCAAAATCAACTATACTGCAAATGCTTACTTTGCGTAATGGGTTGAGCCGCCCCTGATTATTTGCAAGCTAGAATAATCTAGACTCCACTATTCAACGAATTCCATTTTCTGACTGCACCATTTTTGATACTTCTTCGAGTCATTCAGTTCACAGATGCCTGCTGATATTTCTTTTGCCAAATAGGGAGCCTTTTGACTGTATTAACAGCTATACTCAGAAAACTAAGTGTGCTACGATATATGTGAGGCTACATATTAGCAGTAAACCAGTATGGAGTAGTGATATGAGTGAGTTCAGGAGACCAGAGATACAATCCCCACCAAACCATGGAAACCCCCTGGTTTACCTTGCACAAGTCACAGTTCCTCAGCCTAAGAGGAAAGCATTGGGAAACCTCCTCTGAAGAAATCTTGCCAAGAAAACAATCATAGAGTTGCCATAAATTGGAATCAATCTGAAGGTACACCACAACATATGTGACAATAATTTTCTGTTGTACTAGTCATGGAGACATGAAATTGGTTTTTACCTGTGACATGATGACTCAAGAAGACAACTGCAAAGATAAAGTAATAAGTTTTAAAAAGTCAGAAAACACYGAAAGACATGCTACTTTGATGAAAACATACCCAGAATAGCTATGTTAGCCACCCAGCAAAAGACAACATCCAAAATCCACAAAACTGYATTACCCTTATTGGGACCACCAAAATAATATGAAATACACCATAGAAGATTTCAGAACTCCATTGGCTTCTTCATCAGTGAAAATTGTTAAAATYATTCAGAAAACTGGGAGGGGAGGGGGGGGGGATGGATGATGTTACAGTCACAGGTCTACATTTTGTCAAGATGTTGTTTATCTTCTTGTCAATCAACTTCCTTATCTCCAAAAAGCCATTGGAATCATATGGCCATCCCAAAGTTGTTGGATTACAAATCCCAGTGGCATAGCTAAGAATGAGAAATGCTCAAGGTTGCAGTTGCATCATGTTAAAGGTTAGCCACATCATTCCCTCTCCACAAGGTTCATCAAATTCATTAACCAGGGTGGTTAAACGCAATACACACTCTGAAGGGTCCCCAGTTTCCACTGTAAAATTCCAAAGTTTCTATGACACAAATGCATGGCTAGCAGTAAAACTTTGAATCTGAGTTCCAAAAAACAGGAAAGCTTGTCTTGTGATTCTCAAGCTTTAGAGAAGCATTTGGCTGGAAAGGGAATGCTGAAATACTAAAGGACTTTTTGGGTGATTCAGCAATAGTTTTTAATGCATGTTTGCCTCCTCAAACTGTAAGCCCCCAGACACATTAAGATCTGGTACACTTAATTAAATGGCTTGCTGTGCCTGTTATTTGTATTGTTGCCACTAGCAACAATTGCAATCTAACTTCTTCCAGGGCACAGATTTTCAGAAACAAAGAATGGTTGCATCCAGTAAGAGCTATGGAGGCACCCAATGCTTTAGTCATCAACACTTCCTTCCTGAAGATCCTGAGTGGAACAGTATCAGAGGAAGAGGCTCAGACGACTGAGCCAAGAAGTCCAGCACTTTGCTCTGAAAAACTACTACCATATATACTCAAGTATAAGCCGTCTCAAATATAAGCCAAGGCACCTAATTTTACCACAAAAAAAAAAACCTGGGAAAATGTATTGACTTGAGTATAAGCTAAAGGTGGGAAATGCAGCAGCTACTGGTAAATTCCAAAATAAAAATAGATAACAATAAAATTACATTAATTGAGGCATCAGTAGGTTAGATGTTTTTGAATATTTACATAAAACTGTAATTCAAGATAAGACTGTCCAACTCTAATTAAATCAATATTCTAACTTTCCTCAATGTAAATGTGTTTACATATCCTTCCAATAATCAACATAGTTTATTTAACACTTAGGACAAAATGCTGTGTGCGTGTATATATGAATAAGGAAAAGTGAGAAAGACTGGTGCTGAGAGAGGAGGAGAGGAAGGAAAGCCGGGTTGCTGTGCAGAGAGATGAGGGTCCTAGTAGGAAGGTATGGGGCTGAAAGAAGCCATTCTTCCAGCCCCATGCCTTCCTGCCAGGACCCTCACCTGAGTATAAGCAGAGGGGGGCTTTTTCAGCCTTGAAAAGGGTTGAAAAACTAGGCTTATACTCAAGTATATACAGCAACCCACAAGGGTAAGACACATTTTTTTAGGGTAGCATTGAATCTCATGACACATTAAAGAATTTCATTGTCTTTGGCACACACTTTGATCTGATGTAGTGGGCTGTAGTCTGTGAAAACCATGCACCAAAGATCCCTTCCTTGTTCTTAACCTTATGCCAGAAGAATTAATACTTACAGTATCTACATACCCATACAATCCAATTGTCCATCCTTGTTAGAAACATGTGGATCTTTACTAGATCCCTGGTAAGAACACGGTCTGTTTTATGCTTTTGGAGGAGAAGCCTAAAGAAACCTTTTCTTAAAAAGTTCTGGCAAGCAATAATCCCTCACACTTTTCTCCCAGTTTAGACCTCCCATTTTGGTGGAACTAGGGCAATATTTTGATTCCAGTGCATAATACATCAGCTTTTCTCAATCTGGGAGTCGGGACCACTGGGAGATATCAAGGGGGTTTCAGAGGGGTTGCCAAAGACCATCAGAAACCATATATTTCTGATGATCTTATGAACCCTTTTGGCAGAAAAGGCTGAAGATCTCTCCACCAGTCCTTCTCTTCCTTTTTGGAAACAGACTGTGAATCCTCCCACCAAAAGCCCTCCTCTGCTGTGATTGCTCAGCCTCTCAGCCAAGTGGAGGGCTGTTTCTGAGACTCCAAGTGAGGGGAGGGAGAACAGGCAGTACATGGCAGCGTGGAGCCACTTCAAGGCAGGCGGGTTCTTGGGTTTGGCCCAATTCTATTATTGATGGGGTTCAGAATGCTCTAAGATTGTAGGTGAACTATAAATCCCAGCAACTACAACTCCTAAATGTCAAGATCTATTTTCCCCAAACTCCACCAGTGTTCACATTAGTTATATTGAGTATTCCTGCCAAGTTTGGTCCAGATCTATCATTGTTTGAGTCCACAGTGCTCTCTGGTTGTAGGTAAACTACAATCCAAAATTCAAGGTCAATGCCCGCCAAACCCTTCCAGTATTTTCTGTTGGTCATGGGAGTTCTGTGTGCCAAGACTGGTTCAATTCCATCACTGGTGAAGTTCAGGATGCTCTTTGATCCCAGCAACTACAACTCCCAAATGACAAGATCAATCCTTCCCCAACTCCACCAGTATTCAGATTTGGGCATTTCGGGTATTTGTGCCAAATTTGATCCAGTGAATGAAAATACATCCTGCATATCAGATATTTATATTACAATTAATAACAGTAGCAAAATTACAGTTATGAAGTAGCAACAAAAATAATTTTATGGTTGGGGGTCACCACAACATGAGGAACATTAATAAAGGGGTCATGGCATTAGGAAGGTTGAGAACCACTGTTCTACATTACTTGGCAAAATCCCCACCCCACCCCCTTTTTTTTTTTTTTTTTTGGATTACAACTTCTAATCCAAAAAAAATGGACATAAAATCCAGTGCAGGCTCATCTTATACAAAACAAAACAAAACTTTATTACGGTCATTGACCAGCTAAGGCTCTTCTTATATCTCCCTACCCTTCTGATCCAAGCACTTAAATATTGCAGAACGGGCTGAGCTGCAGTTTTTCTATAAATATGCAAGCAGATCTGTAATGGGAGTTGGCATACTTAAGGGTTTTTTTAAGTAAACTATCACAGTCAGTTTACTAACATTTCTTTCCTTGACAATCCGGTGCTGGACAGACTGTTGCAGAATAAATTAATGCAAGATGTAGCAGATGGAGAAAAGTTTCCAGAGTAGATAATGGATGAAGAAGTTGAGACATACGGTTTGTGATATGGAAACAGAGGCATTCAAACAATCTGGAAGATCCCTAGTTTTCATTGTAAAATGTTAAAAGTCTTATAGCACAGATGCATGAAAAGATTGCCTTTTAGATGTTGCGAAAGAAAGCCCCTTCCCTCTCCAGACTTATGAGTCAAATTCAATCATCCTGCCCACCTCCACTACAGATACCCAGTTCCCACAGCTCTGTGGGAATCCATCCATGCTAGTGGAAACTTTTAGTCTTCCTATGGCAGGGTCAGCTGGCCAGGGGAAAATCATGCCTGCGTCCTGGCCATGTGGACACTCACCCAGTAAGAAGAAGCAGCGTTGCATGGTGTTAAGGGCAAAGTTGGTGTCCTGGTTGGCCAAGGAAGCAATTCTGCAAGGCAGAGGAACTTTTATTGAAGGCTGAGGACCCAGGCAGTGAGTCAGCTAAGCAGAAAAGAAAGTGGGAAACACCCCTGCTTGCTCTGGATTGTCTGCCTCCAATCTACAGTCTGGGAAGGAGGGAGAGAAAAAATGAGAGAAAGAAAAGGGAAGGGAGAATGACAGGAGGAGTTCCCATCAGACCCAGCTTAGTAGACACAAATTCAGGACATTTCTATGAAGGTTTTCAAGAGAATCCCAGAGATAGTAGAATTCCCACTGGAGAATGTGATGTACTTAGATGGAGGTGGTACGTGTTGGATTGCCAACTGTCTGAAAGGAAGCCTTTAAGACCCATAAGTCAGTGTAATCATGCATGCAATTTTTAACATACCCCGTGAGTCTAGCTGTGTATCTGTGTGATGAAGAGGAAAAAAGTCAAGATCTGTCCAGGACTATGTCTCATCCCCTTGTATTTCTGTGTTCTTTAATCTACGCCCCCATAACTTTTATAAGAGAGGCTGCGCGGCTGCTTTTTTAACATCTGCTAATTGAACTTTCCCTATGTATCCTCAGTCTGAACTTCTGCTGCTGAAATATGTTACATGAAAGCCCATCTGATTGTCCCTCTTTATCTTGGTTTTGTGCTCCCACCTCTTCTTCAAGATCACGTTTCATTTGAAGTTTCTCCTTTCCCTTTCCCCACTTGCATTTTCCGCACATCTTCTGCTCCCTCTCATGCGTTAAATTTAACTAATGCATTTCCCTGAGCTTTACCATATATACTATCCTATATTTTAATGCTTTTTATTCATTAGATTTTATCAAGTGGTGTGTCTGAAGTGTTATAATAAGTATATTTAAGTTCTTAATTTTGTTATTTTTGGGTTGTGTGCCAATCTTCATTGGAACCACCTTGACTGGCTTGTGCCAGACTCTTTGCAGTTCTATCTTTAAATCCTCATATTGTGTAAGCTTTTCCAGTTATTTCTCTTCAATCCTGCTGTCACCTGGGATTGCAACATTGACAATCCATACTTTTTTCCCCCTCCACAATCATGAGGTCAGGAGTATTGTGCTCCAAAACTCTGTCAGTCTGAATTCAGAAGTCCCAAAGTAGTTTAACATGTTCATTTTCCGTAACTTTTTCAGTCTTGTGATCCCACCAGTTCTTTGTCACAGGCAGATGGTATTCGTGGAACAGGTTCCAATGGATCATCTGAGCAACTGTGTTATGCCTCTCTTTGTAGTCCGTCTGCGTGATCTTCTTGTAGCAGCAGAGTATGTGATCTATCATTTTGTCTGCTTCCTTGCAGAATTATTATTATTATTATTATTATTATTATTATTATTATTATTATTATTATGTTCAGCCTAGTTAAAACTGGATTTTGAGCTTAGTATAGGATCAAGCCATTCTACTCTGTTAACAACTTTTGTCATCTTGACGATACTTTGACATTGCTTGGCCACCTTTCTCCTGGCTTTCACCTGTGAAATGTTGGAGAATATGCAACATAGAAAAGGCAGCACGTTTTCCACCTCTGACTTCAGTATGTTACTGCCTCTCTTCCTATTCCTTGCCCATCGCAATAGGCTCAGGCAAAAGCAAGCTGCTGCATCTTACTTAGCTTGTATGTTATTCCTCTCGAGAAAAAAACTGAACTATACTCTGATGTTGCTTGGCCACACATATTCTGATATTCATTTGTAAAATGTTGGAGGGTAATCCAAATAGGATAGGAGGTTAAAAATACCTTCCTGTTTTACACCATCTCGGTTTTCCAGTGCAACAGTTAAAGTTGTCTTTTGGGACAATCCTTCCATCTCAATTTCCTGTTTGGTTTCTTACCCAGATATCATACTGGGATGTTCATTCACCACAGGATAAAGTTGGAAGAAATGGATGCTTCCCCCAAACCCAAGCTCCTTGGAGGAAGGGTGGAATATAAATGAGACTACATAGGAGTAATCCTAACAGGATGCTACTTCTTGAAATCCTCAGATCTGCGGAGGACTGAACATTTCATAATATGCTGAGTTTTATTCTTTTTCACGGGGTTACACCCACATAGAGATGAAATGCAGGCGAATACTTGCTGGTAGCTCTTCTTGCAGCAAGCCAAATCCATCCATAGGGAAAGCGTCATAGGAAATATGAGTCACTGCCTTCACCCCAGCCAAGACGGCCTGGGAACAGAGAAGCAGCTGGTCAGTTTTTGCATTTGGAAAAAGTAATAGAAATAGCAAGGTCCAGGTGGAATTGTGCAGGAAGTGGCAGAGGGAGGAGAAATGCCACCTTAAGCCTGGTCTTACTGAAGAACAGTATTAATCGTGTGCCAGCCTCAAGAATCCCATGCTGGTTCCTTCCTAGATTTTGGATCATTTGCTTAGTCCAGACACCTGCATAGTAGGGGTTTCTGCTGCTGGGCCAGTTCCAAGGTTTTTGGCACAATAGCTGAATAACCATAGCAACTCAGTGCTATACAGTTAGATATTCCAGATTAATTTAGAACAGTGGCTGGCTATTGGGAGGATGATTGAAATAGAGACCACTGAAGTACAGGCAAGTGCTGATTACTTCCTCCAGTTTTTAATTACTTTAATATACATGTATTTTCTGAAATTTATTCAGCTTAGTTCTGAATCCTGCACCATTTTGAAAAGGCTAGGTCTCAAATGCAGATGTCATTAATACTACAGCCAGCTCTTCACATTTGCAGCCTTGACTTTTGCCAATTTGATTAATCACTGATTTCATTGATATATTATCTCTAGTAATCTCTAGGCCCTTCAGAGATTAGGTCCTCCACTTCCACCAAAAGGCATGCTGGATGACAAAAAGTTCTTAGAGAGGACACTTCTCTAGGCATTTGTAAGTCCTCCAGTGGGGTTCCATGTTCAAGCCGAACTTGAGTCCTAGAGTTGTGGTGGAGGATCTAGAGATTCCTAGAGAGAGTTCTCTCAGGTAAAAGAATAATAAGTTTTTCCTCTTTCATGGAGATCCTGTGGAGTACAGTAACTGAATTTGGAGCCCATCCTACTCTGTACAGTCCTAGAACATCATCAATGTGCCATGCAAGCCACAGTGGCGCAAAGGGTTAAACCCTTGTGTCAGATGAACTGCTGACCTGAAGGTCAGTGGCTCGAATCTGCAAGATGGGGTGAGCTCTTGTCTATCAGCTCCAGCTTCCCATGCAGGGACATGGGAGAAGCCTCCCACAGGATGGTAGCACATTCGGGTGTCCCCTGGGCAATGTCTCTGCAGGCAAACAATTCTCTCACACCAGAAGCAACTTGCAATTTCTCAAATCACTTCTGACACAATAAAAAAAATCAATGTACCATGGCATTTCTCTACTAGATCCAGGGAAATCATGCTACCCCTCTATTCTGCCTTGGTCAGAACACACCTGGAATGCTGTGTCCAATTCTGGGCACCACAATTGAAGAGAGATATTGACAAGCTGTAATGTGTCCAGAGGTGGGCAACTAAAATGAACAAGGGTCTGGAGAACAAGCCCTATGAGGAGTGACTTAAAGAGGTGGGCATGTTTAGCCTGCAGTAGAGAAGGGTGAGTGGACACGATGGCCATGTATAAATATGGGAGGGAAAGTCATAGGGAGGAAGGAGCAAGCTTGTTTTCTGCTGCCCTGGAGACTAGGATGCAGAACAGTGGCTTCAAACTACTGGAAAGGAGATCCCACTTGAACATTAGGAAGAACTCACTGACCGTACAAGCTGTTCAATAGTGGAACTCTCTGCCCCAGAGTGTGGTGGAGGCTCCTTCTTTGGAGGCTTTTAAACAGAGGCTGGATGGCTATTGTCGGGGGTACTTTGAATGCAATTTCCTGCTTCTTGGCAGGTAGTTGGGCTGGATGGCCCACAAGGTCTCTTCCAACTCTATGATTCTATGAATATTCCTGGCCACACAGTTTGGACATGGCCCCAAAGAAGCCTGTGTAAAATGTACCTAAATGGTCAGACCAATAAAATATCTGATTAAAGCACACACTTTCGACTCTTTAAATGTTTCAAAATGTATTTATTTATACAGTAAAAGGGTATTCCAGTGCCTTGACATCCTCTTCAGACATCATCCTTGCACAAACTCTACTGTACATTTTTTCTTAATGGAACATCAAGTGCATCTTACATTTAACTCTCTCACACACATCTCTTAAATAAGGTACTCTGTATAACAACACATACATATCCATCACCTTTGGAGTAATAACTCTCTGTAATAAATTAAGTACAAACCTTCCGGTTCTCTGCCCCTCTTACAAAATATCTACCCTGAGAGGCTAATGTTTTACCAAATTCCCACTTTTTTTCCTTCCCTTTAGAAAAACTAATGGTGGCCCTGAGAGCAAAACTAGAGGTGACAGAGGAGGTGAGGTCCAAAAAGGTTTCCCTGCAGCTTTAAAAAACATTTAATAGCAGCTGTCAAGAGTGTACAGTTTGAAAGCAATATTATCACAATTGGTTACGTTTTGTCATTATATTACTAGAAATGCTACGCAACTATGGTTAGATTGGCAAGTACACGTAACAGGGCTTTTTCTGCAGCACTTTGTGACAGTAAGTTTCCACTTTCTACTCAGTAAGTTAGAATGGTCATTTCTTCTAAGCTTCTGGTGAGCAACCAAAACAATGCTGCTACAATGTATTGTCGAAGGTTTTCATGGCCAGAATCACTGGGTTGTTGTAGGTTTTTCGGGCTGAATGGCCATGTTCTAGAACCATTCTCTCCTGACGTTTCGCCTGCATCTGTGGCAGGCATCCTCAGAGGTTGTGAGGTCTGTTGGAAACTAGGAAAATGGGGTTTATATATCTGTGGAAAGTCCAGGGTGGGAGAAAGAACTCTTGTCTGTTGGAAGTAGGTGTGAATGTTTCAATTGGCCACCTTGATTAGCATTTGATGGCGTGATAGGGACCACCAAATGCAGCACCCAAACATGATTCAAAGAACATGAAAGGCACTGCAGACTATTTCAACCAGAGAAGTCAGCCATAGTAGAGCATCCAGTGAAACAACCTGGACATAGCATATTATTTGAGAACACAGAACAACTACCATGTCAAACGACACAGAGAAGTCATGGAAATCCACAAGCACATGGACAATTTCAACAGAAAGGAAGAAACCAAGAAAATGAACGAAATCTAGCTACCAGTATTAAAAAAAACCTCTAAAATTATAACTGTTAATAAAGAACACCACTCAAACACAGGGAACAAGAAACAATTAGAGACAGCTAATCACCTCTCAACAAAGGATTCCCCCAGGCAGTAACAAGCCCACCTAAAAACTGCCAGGCCATCAAATGCTAATCAAGGTGGCCAATTGAAACATTCACACCTAGCTCAAACAGACAAGAGTTCCTTCTCCCATCCTGTACTTTCCACAAATATATAAAACCCAATTTTCCTAGTTTCCAACAGACCTCACAACCTCTGAGAGTGCCTGTCATAGATGCAGGTGAAACGTCAGGAGAGAATGCTTCTAGAACATGGCCACACCACCCGAAAAACCTACCACAACCCAATGCTGCTACACATAGGATTCAATATTTGAAAGTGCTGATTTAAAAGATCACAACAATTTCTGGTTGTGCCATAGAGCTCTTCATTTCACCAAGTTTAGCCTCCACCTCTGAATCCAATTCTTATTTCTTTTTTTCTAGGTCTAGTTCCAACTGCATGAGAAAATGACCTTAGAAATGCGACAAATCACGGCAACCCTGATCTTTATTCATCCCTATTACAGGTCATGTCAATGCTATAATAAACTGTGGGAGCCGAGGAGGTGGTTTAGACAAAGTACTGATTAACATAAGACAGAAGAAGGGATACTTAGGGTGTGGTGCTGCTGTCCACATAGAAATATATACAAATAGCAACTCTGATGCTGAATTACTGCATTTGCCACAACGGAGCTACTGAAAAACCAGCGGAAATATCAGCAAGGTTTGCACAAATAGAAAAGGCTTTCAAGGGGAAAACAAAAAACAAAAATTGAGGGCACAACCAATCCAAAAATCTTTTTAAAAATCAGTGAGAATTGAGTAGGTTTAGTGACTATAGATTGCCAAGTGTTTTTGGTAGGGTGGAGACAGAAAAGAAACCTTCCAAACTATAATATTTGATTATGGTATGGCATGCTTCCTGAGCCTAGTTCCTCCCAGAGGACCATTCACACTGCAGTTATAGCACTATGATTCCACTAACTGCCATGACAGCATCCTATGGAATACTAGGGTTTATAATTTCATGATGTGCCAGCATTCAACATCTATGAATTGTTAAATACTTGAACTCTAAATCCTAAAACGCCCCTCAGAGGCAAAAGAGACTTTCAAAGACCTCAAAAGATGCCTGCAACCAACAAGTTCTTTTGTAATGTATTGTTTTAAGTTACAGTATCCTATGATAGTCCCAGGTGGAGTTAACCCTTTATTCATCTTGTTTGCAGTAAACTCATTTGGTTATCTTTTCACCTTGCTTCAAAGTGCCTCTGTCTGCTAAGGGTCTTAATCTTAACGGAAGGTATACAGATAGCCCCCGAGTAAAGCCAGACACTACAATTTCTCCCAAAGGCTCAGGCGTGCCATCATAGACTGCCCGGTGGTGCAATGGGTTAAACCCTTGTGCTGGCAGGACTGAAGACTGACAGGTCAGAGGTTCGAATCCGGAGAGAGCAGGTTGAGCTCACTCTGTCAGTGCCAGCTCCCCCTGCAGGGACATGAGAGAAGCCTCCAGCAAGGATGGTAAAACATCAAAACATCTGGGCATCCCCTGGGCAAAATCCTTGCAGACAGCCAATTTTCTCACACCAGAAGCGACTTGCAGTTTCTCAAGTCGCTCCTCACACACACACACACAAACTATGTGGGCTAAGGCTACTGGGAGCTGCAGTTCAATACACAGAGCCACATGCTTCTTTCTCCTTGTTTATATAGGCCTAAGAGCTTCCTGTGAACCACCTAAATTGACGCCTTAAACCCAACTAGACTATATGGAGTGACACAGCTCACAGGGTCAGCTGCAACCTTGCCTCAGCAACCACCTAATTCGACAACTGTAAATAAATGCATGAAGAACAAGAGGTCTTTGCTGTTTTTCACCTTCAAACTGGGTTGAATAATGCATGAGATGCAATTAGTGTAGCAAATCCCAGTGGTTTCTGACTGTAGAAAGGCAGCTTCAGGAGGGGAGTGTGTAACCTCATTCCTGGCAGTCATTCTTCTGCTGTCCTATCTGTATTTCTCCCCATTGACAGTATTAAAATAAACCAAACAACAACTTCATTTTTAAAAACAAAAGTGACTTCTGGTCATTTTTTAACTTTTCTTTTTACTGCAGCCCTCCCAAATTCCACAAGAACCCAAGGATCAGAACAAAAGTGCTTGCTATGAACTAGTTTGAATAAAACATGTACACATGCATGCACTTACTCACTGCAGCACATAATCTCTAAGGACACCATATGAATTGCCTGCATATAGTGTTTTGAAACGGGGGAGTAGATTACAAGAATATGATTACGTTCTGAACAGAGGTCTCCTGTTCTTTCTTTCATACGGATCTGGAACAGATTTGAAAATGAAGCATCCTGTCTCGTAGGAAGAGCAATTTGATACTTGCAATGCAAATTGGTTTCTGTTTCAGTCCTTTTCAAGAGCTGCTGTAAAACCAACAATGGCCTGGAGGGCATATTCAACGTTGCTTTTTCATGCCTATCCTGCTCCAGAACATCTGCACATTCCACAAAAAGCACTAACACGTGCCTTGCAGCAATAAAAATGACCAGCATCTTAATCTTGCTGCAAGTCTATTCAGATCAAATTCCCATCGAGTCCAAGAAGGAAACTGGCTCTTTCCTGAATTACTAGGGAATAAGTATCACTGACCATCTGTGGAAACATCGCCAGAAATGAGATCCCTGAAACAAAGAGTCCTCATATACTGCTGTCTTTTATCCATCTTTCTTCAGCATCAGTGGTGGCTTGTTGCTCCTTTGTCAGAGGGGCAGTGACTCCACTTTAGGTTTTAATCTGACTTATAATGAAGTTGGAGCCCCTGGTGGCACAGCAGATTAAACCGGTGAGCTGAATTTGCTGACCAAAAGGTCGGCAGCTCTAATTTGGGGAGCAGTGTGAGCTCCTACTGTTAGCCCCAGCTTCTGCCAACCTAGCAGTTCGAAAACATACAAATGTGAATAGATCAATACCCTGTTTCCTCGAAAATAAGAAAGTGTCTTATATTAATTTTTGCTCCCAAAGATGCACTTGGTTTTATTTTCAGGGAATGTCTTATTTTTCCATGTAGAAGAATTCACATTTATTGTTGAACAAAAAAAAAAGGAGAACATTTATTAACCGCCTTGTGTCGCCAATTGGCTGAGAAAGGCAGTATACAAATACAGTAAATAAATAATAAATAAATATACTATACAGTAATTGTCAGTATATAATAAATATACTGGCCCTCTCACAAAGGGCCACAAAAAACAAGGGCTATAAAGTACCTGGCTCCCACAAGCTGTCTGGAGACTGTAATGATCTCTCACTGCAAATCCTGGACTTGTACGGCAGGGATGGTATTGCAGCTTCCGGCCACCAGGGGGAGCATGCTTCCAAACAAAAACTTTGCTAGGACTTACTTTCAGGGGGAGGCCTTATATTTAGCAATTCAGCAAAAATCTCTACTAGGTCTTATTTTCAGGGGATGTCTTATTTTCAGGGAAACAGGGTAGGTACCACTCTGGTGAGAAAATAACAGCGCTCCTTGCAGTGATGCTGGCCACATGACCTTGGAGGTGTCTATGGACCACGCTGGTTCTTCGGCTTTGAAATGGAGATGAGCACCACCACCCTGAGTTGGACTCTACTAGACTTAATGCCATGGGGAAACCTAACCTTATGATGAAGCTATAAAAGTGATGAACCTGTTTTAGGGGGGAAGGACCTTGGGTAGGTACTTCCTGACATAGAAGCCAGTACCCATGACTGTTTGATCCAAAAATATGTCTAGAAAATTCATCCTAAAGGCTACAAAATCCATTTTAGGTTTGATTGCCTGTTACTGCGATAAGAGAAAAATAAGACAATGTCTAGTTAAACACCCCCAAAGGTATCCCCAAAGGCTTAGTCTTTCTTTCCCTTTGTGGGTTAGAAGTGGCATTTGTGTTCAAAATTACTAAGAAGGGAATAATTACATTTTTTAAAAAATTCTTCAATTTTAAAACACATTTTGAAACCACATTACAAATATATATTTCAAATATGTTACATTAGTTAGAAAACAGTAATATATTTCTCTTTGTATACCTCCAACTTGAACTCCAACAGCTTTCTTCTGCATCTCTAAGTGAATAGTAAAATGAGACTACATTTTAGATGGTTAGTTCATTGATGCCAGGCCCTGTCATCTTCTAAAGTGCAACACACACCAATGGCATGGTATAAATAAAACAGGAAATTCAACATGTGCTTCCTATGCATAATTTACCTGGCACTCCTGAATTAGAGGTTATCTAGGTGTAAAATCTGAACGTGTTTCATACAAATGACACACAGATTGTATCTAGCCCAAGGCAAGAACTGGTTGTCCCCGTGCCTCAAACTGTACGTTCATAATTTGGGACTGAAATCCCGATACAACACAAGATTCTGAATGCCATGCCAGACTCAGCACTATAGCAGACAATAGTTTACCCTGATTAGCTTTGCTAATCTGATGGTTGCAGAACTTTCCGTTTGCAGTTGAAAAGAGCCACCTTATTCTGCCAAGGACTACGCTGTGTGGAGCTTGGCAATAGCTTCTTTCACCACAGCTGGTTTGGGGAGCCCTATACTTTTCCCTGTTCGGGAGCAAAATGATTCAAAACACCCACATGCTATTCTGCCTGGCTCCCTAAGCTTGACAGCTGATGGTTAAACAGCAGGCTCGGCTACTAAAGGTCCTTTCTGAACTCCTGCTGGACTGTGTAACCGAGCCACTGGCGCCCACCGCTCACACTGTAGCCAGAACTTTCAAAGAGCCCAATTGCTGCTTTGGTAACAACTGAGACATGGGCCACTAGGAATCGGAAGCCCTGGGCACGAGCCCGCTTTTCCAGGAAATGGAGGAGGTGGCGCCCCACTCCAGAGCGGCGGTACCAACGGTTGACAGCCAGGCGTTTGAGCTCGGCGGTGCGTGGTTCTCCATTGTGGGGCTCCAGGGCCACACAGCCACAGACGTCGTCCTCGTCATACACGGCCACCCAGAGCCCTCGCTGGCCAGCGCTGTAGTAAGTATACAACTGCTTCAGGTCAGGTGACCGCCACAGCAGAAGTTTCAGCGCCACCACGGTGAGCAGCACTGGCAGCACAAGAGCCACCACAAAAGAGTTCAGGAAGAAACGCAGGCCGCTGCTCACCACCGCCATCAGTAGCAACGCCAACGGCCGGGTCAGCACATACAGTATCAAGCGGTTCTCGGTATCCTTGAATCCATCCTGGTGGGAGAAGAATGAGAAAGAATATGAAGGAACGATCAGAGAGTTGTGGAGAATCCAATGAGTGGAAACATCACATTCTGAAGCAGACTGTCTGTAGTTAAGGCAATAATAATAATAATAATAATAATAATAATAATAATAATACAACTTTATTTATAAACCGCTCTATCTCCCCGGGGGGACTCAGAACGGTTTCCACGTAACAATAGAGTAAATAACATAACCATAACTTTTTTTTTGTCGTGTCAGGAGCGACTTGAGAAACTGCAAGTCGTTTCTGGTGTGAGAGAATTGGCCATCTGCAAGGATGTTGCCCAAGGGACGCCCGGATGATTTGATGTTTTTATCATCCTTGTGGGAGGCTTCTCTCATGTCCCTGCATGAGGAGCTGGAGCTGATGGAGGGAGCTCATCCGCCTCTCCCCGGATTCGAACCTGCAATCTATCGGTCTTCAGTCCTGCTGGCACAGGAGTTTAACCCACTGCACCACCGGGGGCTTCATAACATTAACAAAACAATATAAGCATAAAAATTGTTGCCATAACACATATACATTAAAAGTAATTCTGTCTGTTCAAGGCAATTTAAAAGGCCAGACCGAGATTAGTGCAAGCTCAAAAATTCTGGGTGGCCCGAGAATTAAGCACAGTGCTATAGCAGTCAACAACAATAATAGGTACGGGTCTATGGCTGTTCATTTCCGGGGCCTGTTAGAAGAAGTGACTTGGGTAATTGGTAGGAAGAATAAGGCCATACTCAACAATGTCTAGGGCTAAGCTAGAACTAGTCATTCTTATAGGCTTGTTGAAACCAGCCGGTCTTCAAGCTCTTACGAAAGGAGGGGAGGTATGGGGGCTGTCTAATTTCCCTGGGGAGGGCTTTCCAGAGGCGGGGGGCCACCACTGAGAAGGCCCTCTCTCTCGTCCCCACCAACCGTACTTGTGATGGTGGTGGGAACAAAAGGAGGGCCTTCCCAGAAGTTCATGCCGATTCATAGAAGGAGATGCGATCGCAGAGATAGGTGGGGTCCGAACCGTTTAGGGCTTTATAGGTCATGACTTGCACCTTGAATTTAGCTCGGCAATTTATCGGCAGCCAGTGAAACTGTTTTAATAAGGGTATTGTATGCTACCTATAGTTTGCTCCAGTAAGGAGCCTGGCTGTTGCCCATTGTACCAGTTGAAACTTCCGGGCCGTCTTAAAGGACAGCCCCACATAGAGTGCATTGCAGTAGTCCAGTCTGTATGTAAACAAGGCGTGGACCACCCTGGCCAAGTCAGACTTCACGAGGCAGCAGCTGGTGCACAAGTTTGAGTTGTGCAAAGGCCCTCCCAGCCACCACCGACACCTGAGCATCAAGCGACAGCATTGAGTCCACGAGGACCCCCAAGCTACGGATCTGCGCCTTCTCTACCTAGGCTTGGCACCCATTCCTTTTCTTACAATTTGCATGGAGTTAAGAAAGAACCAGGCCCCTTTGGAGGCACAGCAGGTTAATCTGCTGAGCTGCTGAATTTGCTGACTGAAAGGTTGGTGGTTCAAATCTGGGGAGCAGGGTGAGCTCCCACTGTTAGGCCCAGCTTCTGTCAACCTAGCAGTTACCTGGGCATACAATCCAGACATCCCTGAAAAGAAAAGATGTAGGTGAAACAATTCATCTCACCTTCAGAAGCTCCAAAACCATTGGTGCCTCCTCTTCTCTCATTTCCCTGATGGCCAGTTGCTCAGGTTCCAGTGTAGGCATGCTGGCAGCAAACAGAAACAGCACCTGAAAGGAAAGAAATGTTGACCAGGTTGATGAAAATTTGAGATGGAAGAAGAAAGAGCCTCCCATTGGCTTCATCTAAGTTATTAATAAAGATGTTGAACAGGCCCAGGACGGAGCCCTGCGGCACTCCGCTCATCACTTCTTTCAAGGATGAAGAGGAAGCATTGGTGAGCACCTTCTGGGTTCGTCTATTTAACCAATTACTGATCCACCTCACCGTAGTTTTGCCTAGCCCAAATTGGACTAGTTTCCTTGCCAGAAGGTCATGGGGGACCTTGTCGAAGGCCTTACTGAAATCCAGGTACGCTACATCCACGGCATTCCCTGCATCTACCCAGCTTGTAACTCTATCTTACATACTCTTACATTGGAAAGACTACCAGTCCAACATCTCACCCTTTTATTATCTATTTTCCTATTGAAATGCATAGAATTCTAGGAGAGGTGAGCAAATGCTACCAAAAACATGTCAAATTAATTAATGCTGTATTTAATACTTTTCACAATACATACTGTATTGCGAACGTATTAAACAGGTACAGCTGAAAAGTGAATATTTTAGCTACTTTTTTTTTTTTGGATTTTTAACTTGGGAGCACTGACCACACAGGATCACCTTGAAAAGTAATGTGAAACAGAATATATGCAATGCTAATTTGATGGTTCGGTATCCCTTATTCAAAATCACTGGGACCAGAAGTGCTTTGAATTCTAGATCTTTTCAGATTTTGCAGTACAGTAGACCAGTGGTTCCCAACCTGTGGTCCATGGACCACCTGTGGTCCTCAAGAATGAAAATATGGTACGCGGCCTCACCATTACTACACCATTGCCTCGAAATCACGTGGCAACAAGAGTGACTGGTCTCACGAAAACCCCTTATAGTGCCGATGCAACGGGCACATTGGAAGGGGAGAGCTTGACTACACACAAAAGATTACTACTACCACATCACTTCTAAATTATTAAATATGGTTTTCTGTGTGTGAGCAGATGGCATTTACTGGATGGCACCTGTTCTGTATCCAGAACTACAGCTGATGTGGTCTATCCAATGCAATTTTTTGAATCAGCACCCCAAAAAAACAAACTGGATCTAAAGCTGACCAAAAACTGATTTGGAACCCTTTTGGTACTAATGTTGGAGAGTGGTCCCTGGTCAAATTGGTCTCTGGTCAAATTGGTCTCTCGTCAAAGTAGCCCCTGGTCAAAATGGTACCTGGCCAAGTGGCCCCTGGTCAAAGTGGTCCCTGGCCAAGTGGTCCCTGGTCAAAGTGGCCCATGGTCAAAGTGGCCCATGGTCAAAATGATCCCTGGTCAAAGTGGTCCCTGCCCAAGTGGCCCCTGGTCAAAGTGACCCCTGGTTAAAGTGGTCCCTGGTCAAAGTGGTCCGTGGTCATGTGATCCATAGTCAAAGTGGTCCCTGGTCATGTGGTCCATGGTCAAAGTGGTCCATGGTCATGTGGTCCGTGGTCAAAGTGGTCCGTGGTCAAAGTGGTCCCTGGTCATGTGGTCCCTGGTCAAAGTGGTCCATGGTCAAAGGGTCCCTGGTCATGTGGTCCATGGTCAGTGGTCCATGGTCATGTGGTCCATGATCAAAGTAGTCCCTGGTCATGTGGTCCCTGGTCAAAGTGGTCCATGGTCATGTGGTCCATGGTCAAAGTGGTCCCTAGTCATGTGTTCCCTGGTCAAAGTGGCCCCTGGTCAAAGTAGTCCCTGGTCATGTGGTCCATGGTCAAAGTGGTCCTTGGACAAGTGGTCCATGGTCAAAAAAGGGTTGGGAACTTCTACAGTAGTCTCTCAGTTAATTGGAACCCACGGGGATTGGTAGCTGTCTGGCTAAATGTAGTTGCAGTTGATTGAGAGTTACTATTAAAAATAGGCCTATATACTATACCCCATACTACTATCACGCCATAAACTCTGCATTGACTTTCATCTTAATACTAAAAGGCAGTAATCAAAAGCAAATGAAGACAAATAAAGACAAACTTATGTTAACAGGGTTTTACTGTATTCTAAAAACTGCTTGTATACTTAAAGTATACTTTAAAAACTTCCTGACTGTGAGAGCCGTTCAGCAGTGGAACTCTCTGCCCCGGAGTGTGGTGGAGGCTCCTTCTTTGGAAGCTTTTAAACAGAGGCTGGATGGCCATCTGTCAGGGGTGATTTGAATGCAATATTCCTGCTTCTTGGCAGGGGGTTGGACTGGATGGCCCATGAGGTCTCTTCCAACGCTATGATTCTATGAAGTATTTCTATTATTATTATTATTATTATTATTATTATTATTATTAGCAGTTGCTTGAGTTCCGGTCAATTGAGAGTCTACTATACTTGCAAATACAAAATGAAATATCTTGGGAGATTAGGTTCCATATGCCTTAGACATATAGGCAGAAGGTAAGAAAATATTTTTTTTATAATTTTGTGGAATAAAATAAGTTTTTTTAGACTGAACCATCAGAATGCAAAGGTATCACTAACTCATGGGCAATTTTGGAGTATTTTAGGATAAGAGATACTCAAAATGTATGGTATTGCATAATCCTATGTGCATTATATTTAAATCATTGGATCCGCTTATTTACAGTTATGATCACTTTGTGCAGACAGCTCAGCATTGGCCCAAAATAGGGGACCCCCCCCCCCCCCCCCAATAAACAATGCTAGTGGATGAGAATGAAATAAAATAAAAGGCTATCCTGGGAAATGGCAATATATAATAAACCCCATCCTGCAATAACAAATCGACTTTGCAAAATATGGCCCATTAACAACCACAGAACGCCCTGCACAAAAATAGAAGCGCTCGATTTAGCACAGAACCCTTCACACTCCCCCCTCCCCGCGCAATGGACTCACCCAGCCTGCGGAAAGGAGCTGCTCTCACCCCTCCAGAGCGACATGGAATTTCCCAGAGTCTCCCGAAGGCCCCGCCCCCTTGGAGAGAGAGGGAAAAAAGAGGGAGGGGTGCCGACCCTCTCACTCCGACCGCTCTCGCCCTGCAGCAGGTGTGCTCCAGTGGTGTGCGCATGCGCCCCGTTTCTGCCTTCTCGCGCTCTTCTGTACCTTAGTAACAGTTGCTACGGGGACGAAACGAGGCCTCTTGAGCTGCGAGAAGCCTGAGCTGTAGTAGCTGGCACTTGTCAAGCATTCCCTTTTATGGTAGAGGAGAGAACGCTGAAAGTGTAGAAATGAAGGCCCACACAGCTGTATAAAAATCCACATTGAACTGGATTATATGGCAGTGTGAACTCAGATAACCCAATTCAAAGAAGATGTTCTGAATTGTATTGTTGAAGGCTTTCATGGCCGGAATCACTGGGTTGTTGTAGATTTTTTGGGCTGTATGGCCATGTTCTAGAAGCATTCTCTCCTGACGTGACAACTTCTGAGGATGTCTGTCATAGATGCAGGCGAAACTTCAGGAGAGAATGCTTCTAGAACAGTGGTTCTCAACCTGGGGTCCCCAGATGTTTTTGGCCTACAACTCCCAGAAATCCTAGCCAGTTTACCAGCTGTTAGGATTTCTGGGAGTTGAAGGCCAAAAACATCTGGGGACCCCAGGTTGAGAACCACTGTTCTAGAACATAGCCATACAGCCTGAAAAACCCACAACAACTCATATTGTGGATTATCTGCCATAATATTCTGGATTATATGGCTGTGTGGAATATAGTTTGTCACAACCTCTGAGGATGTGGTTCAAAATATTTGTGGGGGGAAAAACATGGCACTGGCATTAGCATCTGCAACCAGTTTTGTTATGTCCCTTAAAAAATTAAATCTCTGCAGGTGATTTAAACGTTTTAAAGAGCTGCACAATGCTCCTATGTCATCAACTTCGCTGAACTGGCCACATTGGCCAAATGGCCGATCATTATCTCCCAAAGCAGTTACTATACTCCTAACTCAAGAATGGGAAATGTAATGTTGGTGGACAGGAAAAGAGATTTACAGAGGGGCTTAAAGCCAACCTTAAAAACAAACTGTGGCATCGACACCGAGAACTGGGAAGCCCTGACCCTTGAGCACTCTAACTGGAGGTCAGTTGTGACCAGCAGTGCTGCAGAATTCAAAGCACAAATGAAGGGCAAAAGGAAGAAACGTGTCAAGAGGAAGATGCGTCAAGCCAACCCTGACCAGGACTGCCTTCCTCCTTGTAATTGATGTCCACACTGCAGAAGAACATGCGGATCAAGAATAGGGCTCCACAGCCACCTATGGACCCACCACCAAGACTTGGAGGACCATAATCCTTGGGCTACAAGGGATCACCTAAGCAAGCAAGTAGCATTGCCCCTGTATGGTCTGAATGCACCCTCCTATGGCCAGAGCCAGGTAGTGATTCATGTTGGTATCTTAAAAAGTTACTTTGTGGAAATCTGACATGCAAAAAAGGTAATGTCAGAAGCGGCTACTATGCTTTATCCCATCTTGCTCATATCTGTGAGATGTTCCCTTACTCCGAAATGTCGCATTTAACATTTGCATAACATACACAGCCCATAGGAGAATTGGTTTAAATGTTGTTCCTCTAAATGTGCTTTCCCCTAATTTTTAATGAAGAGTCAGTACAGTCTGCCCTTCACATTTGTGGTTTTAACTTTTGCAGATTTGATTATTCATAGGTTTGATAAAAATGTTATTTCTATGAATATCTAGATCCTCCAATGTGATGCTATATACAACTTCCAGTAGAGGTTGAGCAGAGTCATGCCAGGGGACACAGAAAATTTCTCTCAGGTAAGAAAATATCATTTTTAAAATGTGTGGCTTTTCAATTTCATAAGGATCTTGTGCCCCTCAACTCAGCAAATGGAGGGCTGACTGTGCTTTATAATAAATACTATTTATAAATGAAGAACACAAGATTTTTAACCAGCCAGAAATAGGAACGGCCACTCCAGGTTTTGACATTGGAGTTTTCAGAAAAAAGTCTGCTGCATCCATGCTTCACTTCATGAAATGTAGTCGTTATGCTGACACGTTTCCTGAATTGACCATAAGCTATTGAGACCTAAAATTGATCTGCCAGAAACCACTGGCCACACCAAAATAGCTATCCAAAAGCCCAAGACCTGCATCCACTTCAACTATTGGGCTTAATATAAGCTGCCAGCTGTGGGTTGTAATGGGATAGTAACTACTGCTGGGGGAAAAACCCAAAATAAGCACAGAAATGAACAGGAAAACCTGAATTACTAGGTTATGTTCTTAAATCTGGAAGGAATGTAAATTAAAGGATGCCTATAGGACTTAATTTGAGCCAAAAGGACTCCCCCCCCCCCCCGCCCTCCATCTTTTCCTATGCTTGGACTCACCGCTGGAACAAGTGAAGTTATATGAAGACAATACAATTCCTTACCATTGCCTGCACTGTATGTGACCAGTTGGTGCAATAGGAAAAAACATGTAAAGGGCCAAAAAGTTCCTTTTTGCTGCTTTGAGGCATATCGTGGAGTTTTCATCTCGTACATGCCATTCTCTGAAGCATTTCTGAACACTCCTGCTTTCTGGTGTTTTCTTGTACATTCAGATCAGGATTTACTGGTAGATAAATATGTATTATTTGCAACAGCTCATGTTCCTTAATACCATGTAGAACTGCAATTTTAAAAACCATTTATTATATTCTGGCTTTGCAGTAATTGCTTACCTTAGTATTCTTCACCTGTAAATATTTTTGAGTTGGTCACCTTAATCACATTTTTGTGCTTTGAGATTTCTGCTTGCATATGCAAATTATCCCAATGTAGAGTATGTAAGATATAACTTGCTCTGACTTTTGAGATACCATTTTACATTTGGTTACCCTATATACTGGTACTCCGATATAAATCTAGAAATGTTAATCAAAACATTCCAAAAAAACTCAGTCAACTTATTCACGGGTCAATGTGAGTACTGTAGCTCAATTCTCTTAATATACTCACCTACACTGCAATCCACAAAATGGTGATTTCAGCCAAATTCACTAGTGTTCTCTTGCAGTTCAGTCCCTCACTGAACTACAAATCCAAGGATTACTTAGAGCAGACTGCTACAATGGTATCAAACCGATATAATTGATTCTGTAACACCTCAGATTTTAAGAGAGCAGAAACCCATGTATTATTAGAGATGTGAACCCTGTCCATCCATGATACATTCAAGAACAGGACTGAAAGAAAGGCAAAAGTGCTTCAAATCAGTCTTTTATTTTTCTTCTTGGGCAAAAGAGTCTGTGGCCTGCTTGTGTTTGTTAGCACCAGGAACTGAGATCCACTGAGAAAAGTGGTTCTCCATATGGTGAATGGCTGGAATTGGTAAGAACAGACAAGAAGGACGTAAGTGAAAATGACCATATGACTGGGAAATGGAGCCTGTGACAAATTTATGAAACTGCCCCTCACCGCATCCAGACCCCATGGAAGACCTCCCCCCCCCCAAAAGAAAACGATCCATTGTTCAGTTACATAAAAGGAGTTTACACCATTACATAATGTTCCAGAGCATTCTGGTCTGATGCTGTGACATGGAAAGGAAATGTGAGAGAAGCCAGACATGCAGTTGCTTCCCACAGATCACATTTTCTGTTTTATGTGGCAAGAAACATGAAAGTCTTGGCTGTCTTAACCATCACATTGAATGTACATTTAGATCTTTGCAGAACAAAATATTTCAAGCACAGGGGAGCAGGGGTGGATCTGAGACAGACAGAGTGCTCATCAGGTTACACTTTTCTTTCATGCAATATAGGGGTATACAAGTGCTTGGGCAGAGGATACCACTGTGGCTGCAGGGGCAGTAGAAGCAGCAGCATACCCATGAGCAGTCAGGGGAACAGCCATGAGCATGCTTTTGCGGAGAAAGACTTCATTGAGAGGAACCCAAACCAAGCTCACTGGGAGAGATGTCAATCCCATCCGTTGCCTAGAGAGAATCCACCCTGACCAGCACTGGTTCTAGCAACTGGTAGACCGGATCTGCTCCTCTTTGCTTACTTGCGAGACCTGATGCACTAGCACAACATATGCAGAGACACACCCACTTTCAGAATGTGTGAACAAGCTGCATGCTGGGCACCGCCTGCACTATCTGAATGGAGGGCAGGCCTTGGGATGTTACTGGACTCTGCAGAAGCTGCACCATTTGGGAAGTGCTGTTGTTGTCGAGGGAAGGCTGTGTGCTGTCCGGACTGCTCACCTGCAGTGTGGGGACACTCTCTAACACTTGAAGAGTCTGTTCTCCCTGAGCACTGCGAATGATGAGAAGGTTCTGCCCAGACCCTGAGCTACCCTCAGAACCCTGCACCTGAAGGCCAGGAAGTTCCTGTACAGTCTGGATATCCTCTACTTCCTGCACACACAGCCGGGTCTGCTCCCCACCTGCACCCCTCAGCACCAAGACCTTTTGAAGCCCTTCCTCAGTCTGTAGTGTCTCAAAGTGCATGTCCTGTACACCCTCAAGGCTCTCCACTTCAGCCCCTGGTCCTAACAGCTCATCTCCCGGAGAGTTCTGCACCACTCTCTCTCCCGGAGAGTTCTGCACCCACAAGGTGGGTCCTTGTTGGAGCTCCACTTCAGACAGTTCATGAGAGCTAGACAGAGCAGTCCCCACTTCACTTATCTCCTGAGATGAGCCCAAAGTCTGGAGCTGGATGCTATCCATCTCCTCTGAAGGCTGCAGCTGCTGTGCTTCTTGGGAAGACAGCAAGTTTCGGATTTGGATCGTACCATCTAGTTGCTGGGAAGGCGAGAGACCCTGAATTTCAATGTCATTTGTAGACTGATTTGAAGGAGCCAAATTCTGGATCTGCAGGGTGTTGGCCTGCTGGGGTGATGGTATGGTCTGGATGTGAAGAGGGCTCACCTGCTGAGAAGGCTGGAGGGTTTGAAGTTGCAAGGTCCCTGCCTGCTGGGAAGATGGCACAGCCTGGAACTGCACAGTGTTCATCTTAGGGGAAGGCTGAAATGTCTGGAATTGTAGTGTGCCAGATGGGGGACAGCTGGACAAGCTCTGGATCTGCACTGTGCCTGCTGGCTGACAGCTAGGCAAACTTTGGATGTGAACAGTACTTGGAGCGAGGGGCAGGCTCTGGATTTGCACAAAGCCAGACTGTTGGGTTTGTGGGATAGTCTGAATTTGGATTGTGCCAGTCTGTTGTGAGTCAGGCATGGTCTGGATTTGCAGGGTGCCACCTAGCTGAGCAATAGGAAGACCCTGGAGTGACTGGGGCTGGGGCAGTGCTTGAATTTGGATAGTGCCTGCTGGTGGAGTGGTTGCCATAGTTTGGATCTGAAGTGTGCCCGTTGGCTGTTCTGGCAAGCTTTGGAGGACAATAATGTTCTGCCCACTATCCTGCAACCCTGATGTTTTCTGGATTTGCACATTAGGAAGAGATTGCAGGTTGGGTGCAGGGGCAGTGGGCACAAGAATGATATTCTGCTTCCCAGACACTGGTGATGGAAGAGGAGGCAGCGACACAGACTTTTTGCTCTTACTTTGACGGCGTGGGACTGATTTTGCAGAGATGGTTGGAGCACTTGGCAAGAGGGTCAAGGTGGTTGGAGCTGTAGGTGTTGTAGATACCACCTGGGGACTTGGAAGCAGGATGAGCTTGGGAGGTGAATTCTGAGGAGGAGGTGGCTGTTGCTGCTGCACACTAGGGATAAGTTGCAAGCCCTGGGCTGTTTGCACGAGCAGAAAACTCTGAGTGTTGGAGGGACCAGCTGGGGCCGGGTTGCTGCTTAACTCCACATTCAGTGTGGCCTGCAGGTTGGGCATGATTTGCACCTCCTGAGTAGCAGCAGGCGAGGCAGCAGCTGGACGACTAGCTGTCTCAGAGCTATTGTGTGTACGTAAATGGCGCTGTAAATAAGAAGCCATGACAAATGCCTTGGAGCAAACTGGGCATTGAAAGGGGCGCTCTCGTGAATGGGTACGTCTGTGCAGCGCCAGGTTGGAGGAGTGGGTAAAGGCCTTGCCACAATCCCGGCAACAGTAAGGTCTCTCACCTGTATGTACCCGCTGGTGCTGTCGGAGGTTGGATGTCTGGGTAAATGCTTTACCACATGTTTGGCAAGCGAAGGGCCGCTCACCTGTGTGCAGTTGCTGGTGCCGACGAAGGCATGAGGTGTTTTTAAAGGCTTTCCCACAATCCTGGCAGACATATGGGCGTTCACCAGTATGCTGGCGTAGGTGGTACTGATAATGAGAAGCCCACTTGAACGCCATCCCACATGTGGGACAGGTGAAAGCCCGCAGCCCTGTGTGAACCCGCTGGTGGATACGCAGCAGAGATGAGCGCTTGAAGGCCTTCCCGCACTCGCCGCAAGCATAGGGACGCTCTCCCGTGTGGTCACGTAAGTGGTAGCGCAGCCCAGACGAGCCCTTGAAGGCCTTCCCACACTCTCCACAAACATAAGGTCGCTCAGGGGGTGGGGCTGGTGTCACAGTCGCTGTGGGTACTGGTTCAGCCTGAGCTGGACACGTCACCTCGGCTTCCTCCAGCCGCTGTTCTGCAGGGGGATGTGAACGTTGGTGGCCCAAGAGGCTAGCCAAAGCTGGGAAGGAACGTTCACACACCATACAGGTATATGTGCGATCAGAAGAATGCTGACTCTGCTGGTGCCGTGCTAACCCAGCTGCGCTTTTGAAAGTCTTGCCACACACAGAGCAAGCTAATGAGGGTATGGGGGATGCCACAGGGGCCACCGCCTCCTGCACAGAGGCTGGTGGTAAGGGTGGTGTTGACAATGATG